CTCTTTGAGGACCACTGCTTCAGAATACACTGCAACGAACCCCCGATGAGCAGCAAACAAATTCCAAAACACAGGTTCTTTCTTTGGTACTTACATGTGGCTGCTGCACATTTTAATAGGCTTCCATTTTTTCATACTACTAAAAGCTATAAATATCTATATTCTAGAAGGAAGTACACCAAAATGTTCACAGCATCTCTGGGTGGTAGGATTATATGTGTTTTTATTTCTTCTTTTTGACTTTCCACGTTTTATTAATTGTTTACATTGAGCATGTGTAACTTTTATAATCAGATTTTTAAAAATCTAAAGGCTAAGGAAAAGAAAGAAAAGAGTGAAGAATACTCTTGTTGGAGGGCTTGATTCTTCTACCACTAGCTACAGAGAGCAAAGGGGAAAGTATAACAATAATAGATAACATTGGAGCAATTTCCATGTGCTCTTTTCTCATGTGCACCAGTTCATTTAATCTCCATCAGCCTGAGGAGATGGATATGGTCATCTTTATCATAATCATCAGCAGCAGCAGCAGCATCATCCTCATAGTCAGCACGTAACAGATAAGGAAACTGATACACACAGCTAGTAACTGGAGAAGCCAGGATTTGGAACAAGTTTACATGGTACCGTGCTTAACCCCACATACAGGTCTTCCTGAGGAACGTCTGACCACTTGGCCACCCTCCACTAGAACAAATCTTGGAAGACATCTTCCCCCCAGGCTCTCTCTTGTAAATGCCACATGGAGAGTCATTCACACAGGACACTGATAAATGTCCCCTCCAGGAACCTCCCACCTGTCAAGAGGCCCTCTGCAAACTGGAGGTCCTTTCCTCATTACAGTCGAGAGGAAAACCAGCCTCAGTTGGGTAGGACCGCCTGGCAGGCTGAGAACAAGGCCACCCAATCAACTCAACAAACACCTATCAAGGGCCTATTGAAGAGCACATTGCAACAGGCATTTAAGAGACATTAATATCTAACCCCAACACCCTCCAAGATAGGTTTGTTTTTTTAAATCATTTTCCCCATTTCAGAGATGAAGAAAGTACAGATCAGAAAGGGTAAGTGGCTTGCCCATCTCCCCTCCCAGAGCTAGGATTTTTCTCTTTTCCAAACACCCACCTCTTCCCAATCCCCTGTCCCCCAGGCAGACTGAGCAGTTGTTGGTTAATACAACCACATGTTAATGGTATTTTCAGATCTCCTCTCTCCACCACAGGCTGATGTTGGTAGGGAGGAAAGCAAAGGGATTAGATTTCTGGCTGCAGCAAGAGGACCTGCCTGAAGTAGGGGGTGGGAAAGTGGAGGTGGCAGCCCCAGGAACCTTGGAGTCAGAAGAGGGGGGTCGGGAATAAGGTCAAGCTTCAGGTGTGTGGGAGAGGGAAGGGGGGAAGCCGAAAGCGACAGCTCTTTCACCATCTTAGCTTTCTCACAGCAGGCCAGGCCAGGCAGGACTGGGCAGCCTCTGGTCTTCACTAGAAGGAAAGGTGAGTGCTTTTGACAAAATGTGGGCTGAAATCCCTCCACACACACACGTTAAAATGACCCCAGTGGACCACCCCAGGGCTGCCAGGCCCTAACTAGACAATCTTGTTTGTTTGTTTTAACTTCTTGGCCTAAAAATAGGTCAAGGAGGAGAGGGGAGTGTCTTAGTTACCTAGTGCTGCTGTAACACAAATATCACAAGTGGGTGGCTGTAAAGAACAGAAATTTATTGTCTTAACTTTTGGAGGCTAGATGTCCAAATCGGAGCATTGGCTCTAGAGGACGGTTCCTCCTTGTCAGTAGCCCCAGGAGTTCCTTGAAGATCCTTGGTATTCCTTGGGGTCTGTTTTTCTCTTGTGTGGTTCTAAAACCACTTCCATACTTTAGGTATTTGTTACAGCAGCAACCCCACTTCTCTGTACCAAATTCTGTCTTAGTAATCTAGTGCTGCTATAACAGAAATACCACAAATGGGTAGCTTTAACAGACAGAAATTTGTTTTCTCACAGTGTAGGAGGCTCAAAGTCTGAATTCAGGGTGCGAATTCTAAGGGAAGGCTTTTCTCTCTGTCGGCTCTGGAGGAAGGTCCTTGTCTCTTTTGAGCTTATCTGTTCCTGGGTGATCTTCATGTTACTCATCATCTCTCTTGCCCCATCTCTGCATCTTTTGCTTTCTTGTTTAATCTCTTTTATGGCTTAAAAGAGATTGACTCAAAATATAGCCTCCACTAATCCTGCCTCATTAACATAACAAAGACAACCCATTCTCAAATGGAATGATGACCGTAGGCATATATAGGTTAAGATTTACAACACTTATTTTGGGGGGTCACAATTCAATCCATAACATTCATATTTACAGATACAGGGGTTAAGTCTTCCACATTTCTTTTTAGGGGCTGCAATTCAATCCATCACAGGGAGCAGAGAGCTGGATTCAAAATAATGTGTGGGATGACAAGCAAAGATTATTGTACATGAAAAACTGCCTTTTTCAATATTTCTCAGTTATTTTAAAGTAAAAAAAAAAACAAAAACCTGTTACTAAAAATAAAAATACCATAAAAGGCGCACTGTGCTTGTAGTACCAGTTGTCCATTTAAACATAAAAATATTTTTTTTAATTAAGTATATTTCAAGATCGCCATCCCTCCACTGGGACTGGCATCTTTGTTATAACCCCACTCAAGTGCTCTTCCTCTGGGTGGAGGTTGTATGGACCCCGAATGCAACTGCCTTCACCTGTGTCTACAAAGCTTAGAGAATGTTCACTTCAGACCATTTCAAAACCGACTTTCAAAGTTTGGTCTCGTGTAGAATCTTGAAGGTTTTGCTCTGTGCAAGTGAAGCAAAGAGCATGAACCATTAGGAATTTGCATTTAAAGCATGATCATGATCTTGCCTTGGGTGTTCCACCCTTAGTCCCTCAGCACAACTTGCTACCCAAGAGACACACTAACTGGACTGGACATCAGGAGCTGCCTGTCTTCCCCTCACTACCTCATTCTCAATCTGGCCAGCCATGTGATGGGATGATGTACAAATGAGCAGTCCGTTCCCACTTAACCTCCCTCACATTGTGGCAGAGAGAGAGTACGCTCTGGTGTCTGATAATCCTAGTTTTGCGTTCTGGTTTTTTCACTTACAGTCTCTGAGACCCTGGTACACTGCTCAATCTCTCTAAGTCCAGTTTCCTCATCTACAGAATGGGAATAAAAATACCATCAATATTACAGAGCTGTTTTAAGAATTAAACAAAATAATGCCCCTAAAGTACCTTGGACACAGTGAACACTGAATAAATGGAAATTTATTTTATTATTCTTCCACCTGTAGACCCTTCTGCTGCCTCTGGCCACCTCCCATCACCTGTGCAGGATGGAATTTTAGAGGGCTCCATTTGCCAGCAGGCTCTGGCCCATTCACAGTGGTGTGAGGCCTTACATTGGGTGTTCTCTGGCTTCCTAGGTTATACTGGGGCCCAACACTCATTTATGGCTGTGGTTTTAAATCTGATCTTCTAGGAGTCCCATTGGGACCTGCTGAGGGTAGTGTGGGGGGAGTGTAGGAGGCAAAGGAAGAAATGAGCTTCAGGGAACAATTTCTTTTCTTTCTTTCTTTATTTTGGTGCATGTGTGTGGTAAATACGTATGTAACAAAACATTTGCCTTTCAACCATCTTCACATGTGAAGTTCAGTGACACTAATTATGCTCATCATGTTGAGGGAACAAGTTTTGTTGAGGAAAGAGTTTCTTTACCTTTTTGCTTGTTTTATTTTTATTGTAATTTGAAAACCACTGACTTGCAGTGTTGTTTCTTTGAGGGAAAATGTGCTTCAAGTTCCAGGCCACAACCTGTTGCTAAGCCAGGGACTGCAGTTAACAGAATGACATAATCAGTGAGCCAGTATTAAAACATTGCTAGAGGCAGTGAAACAGAACCTGGCCTCTCAACTGAGACATCAAAAACATTCCAAGCTCAAGTGTATCTGATGTTATGGGTCCTTTTCTTCTCTCTTAATGAAACACATCTATTTATTCAACAATGATTTAGTTAACCCCAATGATGAGCCCAGAGTAGAGGCTGGCACTGGAGATACTGAGATGAATAAACCCTAGGACCCGCCTTGAAGGAGCACTCAGCCTGGTGGAAAGTCAGATGGGAAAGCCATTGGGCTCTACTAAGCAGGGCAGGTGTGCAAACAAACAGGCATCATAAGGAAGGTAAGCTGGACTGAATATCAAAAGATAAGTAGGTGTTGGGAGTGGACGGGGTGATTCAAAGCACAGAGCACAATCATGGAACAGCTAGATAGCAAGGCACAAGTACCAGACAGGTCCACCAGACTCCTCCCACCCCAACTTCCCCTTCAGACTGAAAAGGCCATGCCCACAGGCCCTTAACTGGCAAACTGTGATAGGGTGGTCTTCGACAAGAGTGGTTACTGATTGGATGGGTGGACACCTGACTCCAAGGCTCAGGTTGGTGGGGTCCCCTATGAGGTGTTCATTACAGATGATGTTAATTAAATAAGCCAATCACCTGCTCCCTCTGGCATTTACACAGAAAGAATAGCAGGGATTTGGCAGTAAATGAAGAGTCAAATGCAGAAGAGCAAGGACAACAGACTGAACTAGACAAAAACCAGTTGTCATCGCGTTTATTCAACTCATGGCAACCCCATCTGTGTCAGAGTATAACTGTGCACCATAGGGTTTTCAGTGACTAATTTTTTGGATGTAGAGTGCCAGCCTTTCTTCCAAGGCACCTCTGGGTGGACTCAAACATCCAATCTTTCAGTTAACAGTCAAACACGTTAACCTTTTGCCAGGTACTCCATTACTGCCTTAATTGCATTGTTAAGGCTGAATTTCTCAGGCATGCTCCCACGCATGCATTCTGTGCTAACAGCATACCCAAGATTCATTCTCTGTTTCTTTCTAAGAAAACACTGATTTTTGTTCTAGGTGGCAAGATGAGCAGCAAACAAACTACATTTCCCAACTTTCCTTGCAGCTAAGGGTGGCCATGTTACACAGCTCTGGTCAATGAGAGGTAAGTAGAAGCCTGTTGGGGTTGTTTGGGGAAGTTTTGTTTTCACAATATAGGGAGTGCTCCTTTCATCCTTGCCATGTCCTGCTTTCTGGCATGTGGCACAGACTTCCTGCAACTTAAGGTAACCAAGCTTAGGAAAGAAGAGCAAGAAGGTAGAAGGAGCTTGGGGCATTGGTGCTATCGTGGCACTGTTGCAGCAGCCTTGGACTTCCCACCTCCAGAATTCTTAATATGTGAGAAAAGAGAAGTTCCACAAATTTATGTTTGTGTCTCTGTACATGCAGCCAAACACACCCTCTAGCTGATCAGCTCTCAGTAATCTCTCTCGAGGAACACCTATTCTGTATCAAACTCTAGGTTGGTTGCTGAGGATGTAATGGTGAACAAGACAGGGTCTTTCAGGAAGCTCACGGTCTGGTTGAGAAAGCAGATTCTATAAAATTAGTAGTAACACATCATGATAAAGGCTACTGATGAGGTAATCACCAGTGGTCAGGGAAGATCAACTCTGTCTGAATGGGCCAAGCAGACTTCAAGGAGAGAGATGTTTGTATTTGGACTTAAAGAATTAACATTTGCATCACCCTGGACTTTGAGCCCTACTTCTAATCTGTTCTGGTTAGTTATTGCCACATAACAAATCACCTCAAAACTCAGTGGCTTAATAGAACAGCAATTATTTTATCTCTCACAATTTTCGTAAGTGAGGAATTTGGGAATGGCTCAGCCAGGTGGTTCAGGCTCAGAGTTTCTCAGGCAGTTGCAGTCAGGTAGTGACTGGGGCTGGAACAGCAGGGAGCTGGAGTGTCTGATGACTGGCTAGGCATTTTTCTCATTTCATGTCACTTCAGAACCTCTCCATGTTGTTTCTCCCTATGGGCCGGTTGGACTTCCTCACAGCATGGCAGCCACAGGGCCGTCAGGCTGCTTACATGGCAGCTGAAGGCTTCAGAGGAAGAGTTCCAGCAAGCAAGGTGGAAGCCACATCACCTTTTATGACCTAGTCTCAGACGTCATGTAGAATCACTTCCATCATACTCTCTTGGTTGAACTTGCCACAAAAGCCCAACCAGTCTTCAAGCCCACCTCCTGATGGAAGGAATATAAGAAAATTGTGGGCATATTTTCAAATTTCCACACAGTCTCAGATCAGCCTTTCAATAAATCTCCATTTTCTAAGGGTTAAAGATTAAGGTTGAGATTGAATCTCTGTTCCTTGCACATTAGACAAACTACAGTTAAGTTCAGCAGGACTGAGGCATAAAGCATGAGCAGAGCACAGGGAAAGATAAGTATGGATAAGTAGGCAAGGGTTTCTCATGTCAGACTAAGAAATGTAGACTTTTTCCTGCAGGTGTCCACTCTTCCTTCCAGGACAAGTGAGAACAGGTACGAGTGACTAGGTGGCCTCTAGGGCAAAGACTGGAAACTTATGTTCCATGGCAAGAGGCACCTCACAGATATGTTTTGTGCAGCCCATACGATAGTCCTTAAATTGGGAGCTATCCTACAAAAACCAGTATTTCTGTATTCACTTGAAAAATTAGAAAATCTGGTCACGGTGGACTCTCACTGCATGGCAACAAGGCAGGAGAGCAGAATAACAGCTGTCCTCTTTAAATGGAACATGTGCTCTCCAGTTTGCCATTGTGTCCACCAATTCTTATTGCATCACAATTATACTGTTTCATTATTTATGTTATTTTCCCCATAAACATGTGAGTTTGTGACCCCTGATATCATTTTCTCATGAGTAAGAGCCTTGCTGGACCTAGGCTCATAACCCCTCACCATCCCAACCCCACGCCTTTTAACACTTGGCCATGGAATAGATATATTATCTTTTCACGCAATGTATATTTGCTTAAAATTTGTAAATACTACCTGCACATATGTGTTTCCAACTGTTTTTAAAGAGAAACCTTGTGCCTGGGGGCACCTCATCTACAGAACCCACGGAACTGGATATGGTCCAATTTGTTTAGAACAAATGGGAACAATTAAGTACCCAGTAAAGAGTAAATTGGGCACTAGATGACTTCGCCACAGGGGAAGTTACTTCAGCTGCCCTTGGGAGCCAGCATCATGGTCAATTAACCCACGGGTGATGTCAACCAATCAGAACCCATCAATGCCCAGTTCAGATGCAAATCACTGAGTGACATGTGTCCTCACCTCACAGGAAGTAGCTTGTCATACTCGTCTTTAATTCTCCAAATCTAGTTCTTTCTTCAAGTTCTAAATCCAGTCACAACTTCATCTGCAAGCCTTCCCAGACCACTCTGGTTAAGTAGACTGGGTCTTACCACCCAGGACAGCCTCCAAGACTGGCTTCGTGCCTGTATTTCCAAGTCCCTTCCTCCCAGTTCCTCCATCACTGTGCCTCATCTCCCATTGGACCTTTGGCCCATAGCTTGCCCCAATATGGCTGCAATCCTAGCTTACCAGACAGCCTGATGTCCTACTATAGCCTCTCTGGCTGAGTCTGCTTCCCCAAGGCCTTTCCTCCCCTCTGGGTGGCTCTAGAGCCAGTACCACACCCCCTCGCCACCTGTCCTTCCATAAATGCCTATTCCTGTATTTGTCAGAGACACTGAAACCAGTGAGTGGGTGAAAATGGAAAGAGTGAAAAGAACAAACTCGTGGCATACAAAGAAATAACCAGCTAGGGACTGGATGACATGGACCCTGGTGTCTTCACTCAGAATTGAAAACGAACTGCTGAAGACACATGGACACGTGAGTAGCCACCACTGGTCCATACCTATTTTTCTGTTCAGATTGCCTCTTTGGATTTGAGAAGAGGAGCTTTTTGGGAGGTAGGGGTCAGCATGAGAAGGGGGACGGTCTGAAAGATGCAGGTTGGGTGAGTGTCACCTTTAGGAATAAAAGAGAAGAGCAAGAGGACAATGAGAGTCTCAGAACTGTTTGTGAAAGGGAATCAAAAGCAATAGACCGAATCCTTTTTGTTTACTGGTAACTGTTGGTACGGAGTATCACATAAAGTGCCCTGACCCAAACATTTAAAAATGAAGTACTATTGTAATTTAGGGTATATGGATGGGGAAGAATCAGGAGTTTACAATATAGAAAAACTCATGCCTGGATTAAAGTAGCCAGGTGATCTAATTACTGCAAGAAATGATCAAAATTTAATTAATGTTTCTAATATACAATAAACATTGAATAATATCACGGTTGTGTTGAGATTATATAGACAATATGCCCAATGAGGTCAGATTAGGTAACAACTAACATGATGATTAAATGCGGCCCATCTGTCAATCACACATTTATGCATTAGTTGACTTCCTAATATTTATTAAGGGTCTACTCTGTGCAAGATGCCGAGGATGCAGTGATGAGGAAGAAGGACACTGTCCCTGACTTCATGGTGATTACAGTCTAGGACCAGTTATCCTCAACTAAAGGTAGTAACATCCATATCCCCAGTGGGGACTAGGACATATGGAAGGCACTGTTGGTTGCACAATGACTGAGGACCCCACTGGCATTTAGTTGGTGGGGACCAAGGATAAACATTCTACAATGTACAGACTCTGACTAAAATGCCAACAGCACTCCCACCAGGAAATACTGGTAGTGCAAGGTATGACATTTTAGAGGCACCATAATACCTATTGCCTTCAGGTTGATTCCAACTCATAGTGTTCCTATAGGACAGGGTAGAACTGCCCCATAGGGTTTCCAAGCCTGTAAATCTTTACGGGAGCAGACTGCCACATCTTTCTCTTGTGGAGTGGCTGGTGGGTTCAAACTGCTGACCTTTTGGTTAGCAGCCAAGTGCTTAATGACTGCGCCACGAGGGGTCCTTTTTAGAGGCAGATTTTCTTATAATAATGAGACCAAGTACATAATGCCTATTTTTTAGTAGAAAACTATGATATTTATTAACATATAGAAGTATAACGTTAATGAAAGTTTAAAATTTGGAAACTGTGACATAGTACACTTACTCTACACAATACTTTTTTTTAATATTGTGCTTTAGGTGAAAGTTTACAGAACAAATTAGTTTCTCATTCAACAATACACAAATTGTTTCGTGATATTGGTTGCAAACCCTGTGATGTATCAACACTGTCCTCTTCTCCACCCTGAGTTACCTGTTAACATTCATCCGGTTTTCCTGTCCCTTTCTGCCTTCTCGTCTTTGCTTTTGGGCAGGTGCGCCCATTTAATCTCATATACATGATTGAACTACAAAGCACGTTCCTCACGTGTGCTGTTGTTTGTTTTATAGACCTGTCTAATCTTTGGCTGAAGGGTGAGCTCCAGGAGTGACTTCAGTTCTGAATTAAAAGGGTGTCTGGGGGCTATGCTCTCGGGGTTCTTCCAGCTCTGTCAGATCACTAAATCTGGTCTTTTTTGTGAATTTGAATTTTGTTCTACATTTTTCTCCCACTCTCTCCAGGATCCTCTATTGTGATCCTTGTCAGAGCACTTGGTGGTGGTAGCCTGGCACCATCTAGTTGTTCTGGGCTCATGCTGGTGGAGGCTGTGGTACGTTAGTCTTTTGGACTAACCTTTCCCTTATGTCTTTGATTTTCTTCCTTCTCCTTTGCTCTGGACAGGATGGGATCAGTAGATGTATCTCAGATAGCCAGTTGGAAGCTTTTAAGAACCCAGATGCTACTCACCAAAGTCAGATGTAGAACATTTTCTTTATAACCTATGTTATGACAATTGACCTACATGTCCTCTGAGACCATGGTCCCAGCCTTCAGCCCAGTAAAGCAGTCCCTCAGGGAATTTGGATGTGTCTATGAAGCTTCTATGACTTTGCCTTAGTCAAGTTATCCTGACTTCCCTTGTATTGTGTACATCTTTCCCTTCACCAAAGTTACCATTTATCTAATTAGTGATTTGCTCTCCCTGCCCCTCCCCTCCATAACTATCAAAGATTGTTTATTTCTGTGTATAAACCTTTTATTGAGTTTTTATAAAATAGAAGTCTCATACAGCATTGTCCTTTTGTGATTGACTTATTTCACTCAGCATAATGCCCTCCAGATTCATCCATGTTGTGTGGTGTTTCGTGAATTCATCATTGTTCTTTATGGTTGCATAGTATTCCACTGTGTGTATGTACCATAATTTATTTATCCTTTCGTCTGTTGATGGGCACTTAGGTTGTTTCCATTTTTTTGCTGTTGTGAACAATGCTACAACGAACATGGGTGTGGGTATGTCTATTTGTGTGGTGGCTCTTATATCTCTAGGATATATTCCTAGGAGTGGGATTGCTGGATCATATGGTATTTCTATTTCTAGCTTTTTAAGGAAGCACCATATCATTTTCCAAAGTGGTTGTACCATTTTACATTCCCAGCAGCAGTGCATAAGAGTTCCAATCTTCCCACAACCTCTCCAACATTTGTTATTTTCTAGGTTTTTTTTATTAGTGCCAGTAATGTCGGGGTGAGATGGTATCTCATTTTAGTTTTGATTTGCATTTCTCTAATGGCTAATAATCACTAGTGTTTCTTCATGTGTCCGTTAGCTGCCTGAATGTCTTCTTTGGTGAAGTGTCTGTTTATATCCTTTGCCCATTTTTTCATTGTATTATTTGTCTTTTTGTTGTTGAGGTGCTGGGGTACCTTATACATTTTAGAAATTAGACCTCTGTCAGATACATCATAACCAAAAAAATTTTCCCAGTCTGTAGGTTCTCTTTTGACTCTTTTGGTGAAGACTTTTCTTTTTTAATTTTTTTACTGTACTTTAGATGAAGGTTTACAGAACAAATAGTTTCTCATTAAACAGTCAGTACACATATTGTTTTATAACATTGGTTAACTACCCTACAGCATGTCAACACTCTGCCTTCTCAACCTTGCGGACCTTTTATTTTGGTGAAAATATACATAGCCAAAGTTACACCATTTTGAAAGTTTCTACATGTACAATTCAGTGACATCGACTACATTCTTCCAGTTGTAGTGGTGAACTCTTTTGATGAGCTTAAGTGTTTAAATCTTTTTAGGAGATCCCAGTTATCTAGTTTACCTTCTGGTGCTTGTGGGTTGTTAGTTATGGTTTGTATCCTATTTATGCTGTATATTAGGGCTTCTAGAAATGACCTTATTTTTTCTTCCATGATCTTTATAGTTTTTGGTTTTATTTTTAGGTCTTTGGTTCATTTTGAATTAGATTTTGCATACAGTGTGAGGTATGAGTCCTGTTACATTTTTTTACAGATGGACATCCAGTTTTGCCAACATCATTTATTAAAAAGACTGTCTTTTCCCCACTTGATGGACTTTGGGTCCTTGTCAAAGATCAGCTGACTGTAGGTGGATGGATTTGTGTCTGGGTTCTCAATTCCATTCCATTGGTCTATGTGTCTGTCATTGTACCAGTACTAGGCTGTTTTGATTACTGTAGCTGTATAGTAGTTTCTGAGATCAGGTAGTGTGAGGCCTCCTACTTTGTTCTTCTTCAGTAATGCTTTGTTTATCCGGGGCTTCTTTCATTTCCATAAAAAGTTAATTATTAGTTTTTCCATCTGGTTAAAGAATGCTGTTGGTGTTTGGATCAGGATTGCATTATATCTGTAGATTGCTTTGGATAGGATTGACGTTTTCACAATGTTGAGTCTTCCTATCCATGAGCATGTTATGTTTTTCCAGTTATGTAAATCTCGTTTGGTTTCTTGCAATAGTGTTTTGTAGTTTTCTTTGTATAGGACTCTTTCATCCCTAGTTAAATTTATTCCTAAGTATTTTATCTTTTTAGGGGCTATTTTTTGGTTGGGAGTTTTTTAATTACCTTTTCAATCTCTTCTTTTGTTATGCGTATATTTAGTTGTTCTACCTCTGTTTGTGTTAGTTTAGGTAGGTAGTGTGTTTCTAGAAATTTGTCCATTTCCTCTAGGTTTTCAAATTTGTTGGAGTACAGTTTTTCACAGTACTCTGTTATGATCCTTTTTGTTTCACTTGTGTCTATTGCAAAGTCCCCCATCTCATTTCTTAAATAGGTTAGTTGCTTACTCTCCCGTTTTTCTTTTGTCAGTTTGGCCAATGGTTTGCCAATTTTGTTGATCTTTTCAAAGAATCAACTTCTAGTTTTGTTGATTCTTTCTATTGTTTTTTTATTCTCTATTTCATTTATTTCTGCTCTGATCATTATTATTTCCTTTCTTCTGGTGGCTGTGGGTTTCTTTTGCTGTTCTCTTTCTATTTGTTCGAGTTGTAGGCTAATGTTTTGATTTTATCCCTTTCTTCTTTTTTGATGTGTGTGTCTATTGCCATGAATTGATCTCTGAGCACTGCCTTTGCTGTGTAGCAAAGGTTTTGGTGTGATGTGTTTTCATTCTCATTTGATTCTAGGAATTTTTTTATCCCTTCTTTGATTTCTTCTATTACCCAGTGACTTTTATGCAAGGTGTTATTCAATTTCCATGTTTTTTTTACTTTTTTCCCTTGCTCTTCCTGTCATTAATTTCTACTTTTATGGCATTGTGATCAAAGAAGGTGCTTTGTATTATCTCAGTGTTTTGGATTTTGTCAAGGTTTGCTTTGTGGCCTAAAATGTAGTCTATTCTGGAGAATGTTTCATGTGCGTTGGAAAAGAATGCATACTTTGTTGCTGTTGGGTGGAGTGTTCTATACATGTCTATGAGGTCAAGTTGGCTGATTGTGGCCTTTAGATCTTCTGCATCTTTGTTGAGTTTCTTTCTAGATATTCCGTCTTTAACCAAGAGTGGTGTGTTGAAGTCTCCTACTATTATTGTGGAACTATCTATTTACCTTTTCAGTGCTTTTAGAGTTTATGTGTTTTGGAGCCCTGTGATTGGGTGCAGAGATATTTATTAAGGTTATGTCTTCTTGGGATATTGTCCCTTTAATCATTATATAATATCCTTCCTTGTCTTTTATGGTGGATTTTGACTTAAAGTCTATTTTATCTGAGATTAGTATTGCCACTCCTGCTCTTTTTTGGTTGCTGTTTGCTTGATTTTTTTTTTCATCTTTGATTTTTAATATATTTATGTCTTTGTGTCTAAGGTGTGTCTCTTGTAGACAGCATATTAATGGGTGTCGTTTTTTTATCCATCTGTCACTCTCTGTCTCTTTATGGGTACATTTAAGTCATTTATGTTCAGTGTGATTTCTGATGGCTGTGATTTTATTGCTATCATTTTGTTGTGATTTTTTTTTGTGATGCTGACATTTTCTTTGTTGTTGTTACTTTCCTGCGCTGAGTTTCTTTTGTTTGTGGAATTTCTCTTCATTTCTTTCATTATAGATTTTGTGTTTATTGAGTCTATGTTTTTCTTTTTTATTTTGATGTGTAGGTTTGTTAACTTTCTTTGTGGTTACCTTGAAATTTACCCTTGTCTTCCTAAGTTTGAACCAGTCTTTTATTACTTGATATCGCCTTGACTTTCTCTCTATTTGAAAATTCTATATCCACACCGGTTATTCCCCCTTTTATTGTTTTGACATTGTCATCTTTTACAGACTGACATTTCTGGTTCCCTGTTTTAAATCTTGTAGCTTTGTTTTATCCTTGAGAGTTCATTACCTAGGATGGTATCTGGCTCCTGCTGTCCTGTGCCCTAGATTCAGGTTGTTGTCTGATGTTGGTTCTCTTAACAGAAGACTCCCTTTAATGTTTCTTGTAAGTTTGGTTTGGTTTTTACAAATTCTCTTAATTTCTGTTTATCTGGAAATGTCCTAATTTCACCTTCATATTTGAGAGAGAGTTTTGCAGAATATATTATTCTCGGTTGGCAATTTTTTTCTTTCAAGGTCTTATATATGTCATCCCATTGCCTTCTTGCTTGCATAGTTTCTGCCGCATAGTCAGAGTTTAGTCTTATTGTTTCCCCTTGCTATGTATGTAACTTTTCGTTTTTCTCAAGCTGCTCTCAGAATTCTTTCTTTGTCTTTGGTTTTAGCAAGTATGATTATGATATGTCTTTGTGACTTTCTTTTGGGGCCTATCCTATATGGGTTTTTTTTTTTTTTTCCTTCTTGGCTGGTCAGCTTTTCATCTTTCATGATATTAGGGAAGTTTTCTGCCAGCAAATCTTCAACAATCCTTTCTGTGTTTTCCATTTTCTCCCCCTGTTCTGGAACTCTGATCATGCACAAGTTTTTGCTCTTGATTGTATTCCACATAATTCTTAGGTTTACTTCATTTTTCTTCATTCTTTTCTCTGATTTTTCCTCAAACAAAGTGGCATCCATGGATTTGTCTTCAATTTTGCTGATTCTGTCTTCCATTGTTTCAAATTTCCTCCTAAAACTTTCTATTGAGTTGCCTATTTCTGAAACTTTATTGTTTATCTTTTGGATTTCTAGTTGCTGTTTTTGTATGATTTTCAATTGTTTGTTTATTTTGACATTTTATTCTTGTATTATTTTCCTTAACTCTTCTATTGCTTTGTCTGTTTTTCCTTGATTTTGGCTATGTTTTGGTTGGTTTTGTCTCCCCCCCCCCCATTATTTTGACTATTTTTTTCTTAGTTTGTCTGTGTTTTCCTTGATTTCTTTCCTAATCTCTTGGAAAGCCCTCAATGTTATACTTTTGAATTTCATTTCGGGTAGTTCCAGTCACTTTTATTCTACTGGAAGATCATTTGATGCTTTATTTTGGTCATTTACTAGAGCCACCTTGTCCTGCTTTTTTAAATATGTTTTGATATTGTCTGCTGTCTCCAAGACATTCAGGTATTATTTTCTTTATTTATTGATAGTAAGTGTGTTTGTTTCATCCTGCTTTTTTGTTTTGATTTGATAGGTCTGGGCAGGCAGACCAGGTGCACTTTGCTGCTTGCTCGTCTGTTGGCAAGATAATTCTCACCACCTTGTCGGCATGAGCAGGGCCACTCGCTCAGCTATGGTGCAGCAGGTCGAGTCTGATGGAAAAGGGGAAGAGGGGCATCGGGGTGGGTCATTCATCTGCAGCTTAACGGAGTAGAGCTGGTGGGGAGGGGGGTGGCCCAGGGTGTGTTCTGCTTAGAGCCATGGCACAGCAGGGCAGAGGAGAAAGGTGGGAGGGGGGCAAAGTGAGGGGCGGATGTGGCTAAGTGGAGGAGGGGACTAGGTGGGGTTTGTATTGTGGTCCCCAGAAGTCAGGGCTGCCAAGATGGGGCAGTTCATGCTGCTAATTGCCAGAAGGGTGGGTGTAGGATCATGCTTCTCTCGTTATCATGTGAGAGTGTCTGGGCACTTCCTTAAGCTGCAGCCAGCAAACAGGCTCTTACTTTGCTCTGAGTGTGTCCATGTCACTCCTCTATCTCATCTCCTATTGGGAATTCTGTGAAGGTGCTTCTCTGCACTCTTTGTGCAGGCTTGTTGGCTTTATCCCAAGATGGCCACGCTGTGCCGTGCTGTTTGGCAGGGAACCTCCACTCCATATCTCTACTCATTCACTATTTTCAATCAGTTTCTTCTCCTCAGTGGCTTCCAATGTAATACTTTATCCCTTCATTTGAAGTTTAGGGTTCCAGGATTGAAGCCTGTTATCCATTCTACTTGTTTTTTTGGGTCTTTGTTGTAGAGGGATGGCTTAGTGCATCTGACTGGTCCACCATCTTGGCTCTGCCCTCTCCATAATGCTTGTTTTTGAAGAATAAATTTTTCAAATTCTTTTATGGTATTCCTTTTTAAATCTCATGGTATGCTTGCCTTCTAAATGACACACTTTGAAAAACACTAGTATAGACGTTAAGAGCAAACACTACAGAGTTTGAGTCCCAAATCTATCCTTTACTAGCTTTTGACCTTGAGAAAGTTAGTTCATGTCTCTGAGCTTCCTAACATTAAGTAAATAATACCCACCCCATTTAATTGTTGGATTGCTGGGAGGACTAAAGGAAATGATGTATATAAAAATTATCTTTCATTGTGTCTGAAAATCTGACTGTGAAGAAGATGTGGCTTCAAGCAGTTTGTGTGTGAAGAAAGATGATATGATGGTGGAGGAGGCATTGGGGACAGGGAATTTTTTTTTTTTTTTTTTTTAATAAATAAGAATACCTG